TCTCGGGATCGTGTTAAAGAGTCATGATCGAGTGTCTACCGTAACATATTTGTAATGCATTTCTCCGACACCGGCGAGGGTGAAAATAAATGGACGCTGACAATCCCGATGGGACCAGCGGTGACAATTAGTCTTGATTAGACACTCAGACGATTTAAATTAATAAAAGTCCCCCAGCAGTGTGGAATTATCGATCGTGTGTATTGATTAATTGAAATATGGGAGAAGTGATTCGCGGTTCATTAGGGACATACGAGAGTGAAATCGTTTCTGTGCCATCTGATAAATTGGAGTAACGACACAAACCAGGGTTGTGTCTATATGAACATCTCCCTCTCTTTTTTCGTCTTGTTGATTTATTTTTTCTCTCTCTGTTCCACCCATTCACTTTACCTTTTTTCTGTTGTTCTCTCTGCTCATTTGTGCTCTGTCACTGGACGATGGACAATGGGAATTGATTCCGGATTCGTGACCACTTGATAAATTTATAATTCCTGTGCAAAGAAGTGGTGGACAGTCTGCACGCAATCGACATTGGGGGTACGGATTTCAAGAGGATATAAAAATAAATTGTGTGACACACGTGAACCTCATGGTTTCGATTGTGATTGATGGTGAATTTTTTTGGGACAAATTCTACTCGGTTATTTTGGGAATTGGACGGGGACAGGGGTGGACAGGTGAATCAATAGATGTGTTTTTATCAATAACATCGAGATTCATTTTATTATACTATATATTATTTATAGTTGAGTAGGTATTTGGAACAAAGTTGGACACGAAGTTTTTTCTTTCTTTAATGGTAAAATGAGTTATGGCACATGATATGTACAACAAGAGGGGGGAAGCATTCACTCGATTCTAGACAAAATCATCTCTGCGGTTTTCATTCATCTTCCCCCCCGGGTTACATTGCGTGCAATTTTGAGATTTTTTCTTTCACGGGTTTTATTTTTCCAGGCCTTTCATTTTTCGTGGATTGTTTATCGTTGACGTTCCAACAATATCTGTGTGCTCACGTACAACAGTTACGGTGGCTTCCGAACGATTGAGGAGAAATATACAAATACTGGTGTCTATCGTGTCCGCGGGTCGAGAGTGACAGACACCCGGTAACATATCGATATAAATATTTCAAGCCCAATTGAATTTTTCACTAGACAATATCTCGCGATTGATCGCTGGCAAATTAATGTTTTTTTTTGGTTTTTTACAAGAACAATTTACAATAAGTACATTTACAATCAGCCAAATATGTACAGATTCGAGCAATATTTTTGTTCATTTATCAATAGAAAAGAAAATTCTTCTTTTTCGATACTTTCTTTAGCTCAATCTCCACTTCCATAAAAAATTTGCACGCAACGTATTCGCACATTAATTTCTACATTGTCAGGCAATTTTACTAATATTTTTTTTCTCATTTTTCTTTATGATATGTCTTCGTTACAATCTTATACGTCGTTCAGTGACTGAAAATTCTCTTGCAGATGTGGTTGAAATTAATGTGACAATTAAATGAATGTATTTGCGAGGGAATTTTCAGTCTTCAACAATTCTTTTGGCTTTGGTTTTTTCAGTGTTCCGTGTTATGTGTATTTCTCATATTTCATTTAAATTGTATAAACATTTAAATTAAAGGTAGCTATAGTTTATGTATAGTACTCCTTAACGCGGTTTATTTTCTCTTAATTTTTATACAAAAAAAATTGTTTTTTACGCGCGCGCAAAATTTAATTCAATTTTACATTCTTCAAAATTAGTTGGAATTACTTGTTCGATGGAATTATACGAATTATCTAATTATGTTACAAAAACAACGGGAATATCATGTAAGATTGATGAGGTGCATCATGTACTTTAATTGAAATTAAACTTAAATTGAACAGAATAATGACGCTAATTTAGCAAATAATTTTTCGATTTATTTCAAATGTTCACAAGTTCATGATGCATTTCAGTAAAACCAATACTGCATTGCATGTCCCATTACTCTTCCTCTTCATAAGTATACATATATATACAATATACATATATACTTATTCACGTAATAAGAATTACCCTTAAAAGCATATTGCGATATGACTTGTTACCCTGTGTTTGATACCTACAGAATACCTGTCATTCAGAATAATCCTCCGGTCATGTGGTATGTCGAATAAATCAAAATTTCACTGATCAACTCGAATCGCCATTCAATGATCATAACAAAAATGACTAGAAATTCAATCACAGAACGTTAAATAATGACAAAATAACAATCATAACTCCGAGTAATTCGACCATCGCTTTGAAAAAGACTTTGAATTTTGTCTCCCATTGCCCGAGTGGAAATTTCACTCAATTAGCTTGAATCAAGATCAGTTTAAGGTCCAATACTGGTCAGAATTTATTGATTAGACTTTCGGATCAGGATCTGATGAGATTCTGAATAGAGTATCGGGATCCAATGTGGCGGAGTGAATTATGATCCTATTCTGATCAGTCACTTGTCGACTAGATCCGTATCGTATCCGGTACTGCTCCGAAAAATCGAATCCAAGAATTTTGACCAGGCATGGGTTACATTTCTGACCCACAACTGATCAAATTCAGTTTTTACGGGTCAATCTCTTATTCTATCCTGATTTGAATTTCCACTCGGGTTGGCATGATTACGATTCCATTGGCGCCACGATTTCACAGCTGTTTTTTGTACCATTTTTCGCCGGGATTACAGGAACAATAATTTTTAAAGTGCCATCTCCATTGTTTCTTCTGAATTGTGGAAATTTTCGATTATATTTCTACCTTTTCCTCTGCTTTTTGACAATCTTGCGGAGTTGCGGGTTGCAGGGTTTGGGGGGGGGGGGGGATAATCCAATATTTTTGGGATAAATATCTCTCCATTCTTCCCTCCTCAGATATCAATTATCAATTTGTAAAGTATTGAGGCCAACTTTCGAGTTTGAGATTGTAAACGTAATCATTGAAGCCAAATGCGGGACTACGAGTAAGCACGGAGACAATTATTTGGTGAATTTTAACCACTAGTTGTTGAAAAAAATGAATGACCAATCAGTTTGTGAATTTCGACAATTAGTTGGGGATTTTCAACAAACTAGTTGATAAAATTTAACAAATAGTTGTCGAAATTCAGCAACTAGTTTTTGAAATTCACCAACTGGTTGATAATTCATTTTTTTCAACAACTAGTTATTGAAATTTCCCAGATAATTTTCTCTGTTTTATGGAAATGTATCTTGAAAAATAAGGATTGAAATGCTCATATCCCAAAAACTAATTAAGAGGAATTCTTCTTCTTTATTTTTCTCGCATTCCTAACGGAAAATGGTACGGAAAACATGTCAAATCGCCGCGCCACAGGAATCGTAATCTTCCCCTCCCATGTTCCAGATTTGCGAAAGAAAAAATAACTGACAGAAATCAAACAATCGAATTGTCCTACAGTATTAAATTACTCTATATTGCACTAAAAATCATCCATCCATACTCTCCCCTACGAGATCAAAAAACAAATGATTTATCATCTCACTGGGACAAGACTTGATATCCCTCTAAAAATGACTTACACTACGTTTTGTACAGCTTACAAATAAATCCTGCGTTGCATTATTAATTAATTAATCCTTATGTCACTTGGTATTGCTGAATGCGCACGATTCACCTGTTTGCATTTTTTACTCATAAAATCCTGCCACTCGAAAAATTCCCACATTTAATTAAAGACAATCAGAACAAACGTAAGGAACAAGATGAGGCATATTCTGAACAAATTATTCAAATAATTCAAACTCTGTAATTTCCCTGTCCCCCACAAATGAAACCGCGATGATGATAAATGATGCGTGTGACTAATCTCTAAAGGAATCATTTCGATATGATATAATACAGTCTTCTCACTGATTGTCCAATATCACTACTCAACACTTGGCTCTGCATTGCAACCTTGACACCATCAATTTCACAAATCCCTGGTCCTCACGAAATACCAATTTTCCCCATTAAATCATCACTAATTAATCAATCTCATTCATTAGTATTAATATCACTTTCCGCGTGAATTATTACTCACGCATTGACTCTAATAACAAATACATAATGAGTTTAATATTATCATTAATTTTTGTTATCTCCTCTCATTAATTTTGTTATTTTCCTCCATCATTTCATTTTTTTAACACCATAATCTCCTCTAACCCCTCGAATTGTACTTTTTCCAAGCGAATGTGACTAGTTTATGTGTATTTCCCTTTTCTCCTTCATTTCTTTTATTTTCTATACTTGTGTAATATATACACGTGTGCGCATATGCCTATATTTCTGTGTTATATACGTCCGTCTGTTTTTAAATGGTATAAACTACCCAGTAAGAGAGACACGAAGCGTGGGAAATCGTACTGGAGTACACGGTATGGGAGGGAGGGAGACCAGTGACGCTGCGTCTACCCATTTCTCTTTCTCCTCCGTTTGGACTTGGAAATATTGTCCCTCCGTGACTTCCGGTTTCAAAGAGTTTTTCCCACTCGTTCTATAGACTATCCAAGTGGGTTATGTCCGATCGATCACAAACTACCACGAGCGTATGCGTGTATTTTCACCACTGCACGAAGAACAGCGACTCGTAAACTTCGCTCGGTCATGTTTTTTTGTTCCGCCGTTTTGTTTTCACCACAACTTTTAAAATAATCACTCTTTTTTTTACTCTTCACTCGGTGGACAGTTCAGCAGCTTTACACTCAACGTTCTCGTTAATTTTTATTATTATTTTCGTATTTGTTAGAGCCCTAGGGAATTGGTTAACGCTGTTGGGAGCTCATGACAACAGTTGCATACGCACCACATCGCGTCATAATTATGATGAAGGAACACACTTCAGTGATGTGTGTTCAGGGCCAACCGGAGTACTCGCTGAGCGGTTCAGGCTTGGGCTCGAGATTCGATGGTGGCGGCTGTGGTGGCGGATACAGTCAATTCTGCTGTCACAAGCCACCCTCGGGTCAATGCTGAGCTGCGAATTTCATACGCTTCTGCTTTTGCCGCTGATTGCAGAACCAGACCCTCACGACATTCTTTTTTAGGTCGAGTTTCTCCGCTATTGCGGCTATTTTTTCACCCGACGGTCGAGGCTGCACCGCGAAAAACGCTTCGAGCGAGCGTTTCTCAGGTGCCGCGATGCTCGTGCGTTTCCGCTTCTTCTCGCCAGCCGGAAGCACCGACGGTGCGTCCGGATCGCGTCTCTTGTTCTTCGCCTGCGCCTCGGCTTCCTCCAGCCATGCCTGCAGAATTGGCTTCAGGGCGATCATGTTGTTGTGCGACAGTGTCAGGGATTCGAAGCGACATATCGTTGATTGGGATAGCGCGCCCACTCCAGGCAGTTTGAGGTTAGCCAGGGCTTTGCCAACGTCCGCTTGTGTGACGCCTAGTTTGATGCGTCTCTGTTTGAATCTTTCGGCGAATGCCTCGAGCTCGCGCGGATCTGTGTCGGCGTCCGGGTGGAGACCGGCGGCTGCTGCTGCCGCCGCCGCTGCCGCCATCGCAGGATGATGGTGCGGGTGGGGTACGCTACCGGCGATGTTGGCGTGATGATGGTGACTCATCATTCCGTTCATGCCGCCGTAGACGGAGGGACCGTGGATGCCGCCGTGGTGATTACCTCCTCCGCCGCCGCCACCTTCCGACATTGGGGTTAGAGTCGTCATGGAGTTCGCTGGGTCCAGCATGTCCAGGCTCTCCATACCCGGGTGACTCATCTGTAAGCAGCGAGCGAGGGACTTTTAATTCACGTACGTCGTCGGTTTTGGTTCTGGGATTTATGGTAATGAGGGTCACTAATATTGTTGAAAATTTTGACATACGGTTTTTCTGGGTGATTTGGTAAATATTGAATTTTTTTGTGAATCTTGGTGGGAGACTGCAAAATGAGATGAGTCGAATAAACTTGAGCGAGTTTTTGAGAAGTAGCTTGTAATTTTAGGCAAGAATCGTTTCGGCTTCTCGACTTTCTTAGTTTTCTTTGGAGGGAAAAAAAGTTTCTAGTTTTCAGAACCAAGTTACTGATTTTGAGATGCTCTGGGTTACAGAAGGCATTGAGGAACTGAGGATAAAGAACTGGTTGCTTAATTTTAGAAGGAAAATCCGTCAAATTCAGAATAAAAAAACTACTTACCCGCATGGAAAAAATATATATCCGCAGATATATCTGGTATATATGGTACATATATTTTATTCTTTCCATATGGGTGCAAAAATAAATGTCTTACGAGGAAATGAACTCTTCGAGGTTAGCGAGAAGATTGAAATCTAAAAAAAGTCTCGAAAAGTCAGAAAAAATAAATAAAAACTCTATGCCCAATAGGAAAATTATCGTCAGTGTCAACTTTCAGTAATAAATAATTTTTGTTTCTTCGTTCCCGAAATGGCGCGTTATGTCGAAACACCCTAATCAAATGAGAGTATTGTTTAATAAAATAATTGAAGAAAGAATTTGATGGATCAATTTCCTACACCCATTAAAGTTAAAATTCCTGGAAATAATATTATCAATGATGAATAATTTTTTTTGGGCTTTTTGAATATAATTTTTCCTCGGTACACGCCACGACAACTGGAGTTTATTCATACTACTTTATGTAGGATTATGCTAGATTCCAATAAAAATGAATGAAAATTCAAACTTTTTCTATGATTTTTAGGGAAAATTTTCTTAAAATAAATAAATATTTCACTTATTTTCAGGATTTTTGCGAAGATTCGGGACGACGAAGTTTTGAAACTCTGAGATTTATTTTACTGACGACTTGAAATTTTCTTTCCCTTTGTTCCTTTTTCTTCTTGAGACAAGTGACATCACAGTCATGTTAATTTAGATATTTAAGGCTGTTATTTCCGTAAGGAAACTTTGAGCTACAATAAGTTTTCCCACAAACTTGCCAGATCTTTTTTAAAATCTGGTACTTATATAAAACCGAATCATCTTATTTTACAACGTCATTCTAAAAAATTTAGAACAATCTAAGCAAAAATGAACGCCACCGTCATTTCCGCCTTTCAGTGACCCTCAAATTAAATCTAAAATTAATTAAATCTAGTCATATAAAGTAATTTATGTCAAATAATCTCAAATCAATCATGTCAATTTCGTATGTATCCATATTAATGATGCAATTGGCAAAACTTGCGGAAGTTCAACAACACATGAAATTAATCTCAGAAATATAGCCACGCCAGGGCCTATTTCCCTCCATGACTCGAGACAAGTTCAATAATTGAATTGCCATTCCCATCGAAGAACATGTAGGCATAGGGTACATGAGCAGGGGTCGACTAGCCTTTTCCCGTCAGTAACGATCTCCCACGCGGCACGCGTCTCGAGCCTAGTCGTACTCTGTTAAAATGTATTTGATATTCAAGTACACGGAGACAAAAGTTGGAGAAAAATTATCTAGAAAATCTCGGAAAATTTGACTGTATGAAAGGTAATCGTGAAGCAAAATGTCATTCAATGAAGAATGCACGGAGAGAAATATTCTGTAAAAATTACGGATCAATTCACGTAATCCGCAATAGGGAATCGTTTTCCGGGAATTTTTATAGGAATGGAAGAGAAGAAATCTGAAACGTTTAGTGAATTTTCAGCTTCATCACCGAACAAAGCACGAAATTATCACGTAATTTTTCTCGAAGAAATCAAATCTTACAGAAAATTCCCGATTTATTACCCCTCCAAAATCAAAAATTCTTCAACGTCCAACAATTTTAATGAAGTTGGTGAGTTATTTCTACGTTTCGTTCCCTAAAATTTCTCAATCGTTGGGGAAAAATTACGGAACTTGTTGTCCCCACAGCGGTGCGTCATCAGACGGGTGGTTAATTTTTACGGAACAAATTGTAGAATTTACGTGGCGATTCGTACAATTTCCGTTCCGACTCACACTTTTTATTGAATTTTACTTCGCTCGCGGATTACGTTTCGAAACGTAATTTTTATGTTTTTTTTCTGGTAATTTTAATTGAATTTTTCTCTCCATGTACTTGTTCCGGAGGATATAGGGCGAAGAAGACATAGAAATGATTTCCACTCCGGAATTACTTGATATTTTTGGAAATTTTTCTCCAAGTTTTTTCTTCGTGCAATAGCGGCATTCGAATCTCCAATCTTGTGAATTGAAATTCACTTTAAAATTAAATCATTATTGAGGATGTTTATCCAAAATCGCAAGTACTTAAAAAAAATTGTTTTTTTTTTAAATTGAAAGATAAAGATATTCCCTTCACTTTGATACAAATTTCAATCCACCAACCTATGTTCATTATTTAGAAATCACATAGACAAAATGCACCAAACGCATGCGCTAACATGCGCTTATATGGGATACAATCATTCAAATATTTCCTCTTTTTGCCCGGGTATCCCAGATTTTTCTCTGGCCATTGGATTCAGAATCATTTTACACATTCCCTACTATTTTTATTTCTTTTTGTAGAGTCTTCTAGTAGGTGAATTATGAATTTGAACATAAATTTTATAAGAGCCCGTGTATAAGGAAAAATTGTAGTTTATTCATTTCTGCCGAGACTATTGCGATTAATTTTTTTTTAACGTTAGAAAAGGTAGTTCCATATATTCTGTAGTCAGCCGAAAAAATTACAGAATTTTCCTTAACCATGAAAAAAACGAATTTACCGACATTGGCTAGCATCCTTAAGGAAAAACTACTATGAGTTTTAAAAGTCGTGCAATATTCAAGTGAGATTTCTCATGCATTGAAAATCGATTATATAAGTCTAAAAATTAATAATTAGTGTAAAAAAATTAATTGTTTATTGTTCGTTTGCTCCGCAGCCGCTTAAAATGTTAAAAATACTCCATGGCCTCGAATTTTCAAGCTACACAGGTTTTTATTTTTCAAAATTTTAGAAAAAATGTGCACAATAACAATTATGAATTCGTTTTTTTTTTAATTTGACTCCTACACGGCTAATTGACGCAAAATTTCAGGAGTGATTCTCTAACAGTTTATACCACACGATGAAAAAACTGTTTCAAAAAAATAATTATTCACCCCCGTACTTATCACCGCATTACAACTCGCATCTACCTGTTACGCTCATTATCTGATCCATTTAAAATGAAATAAAAGTTGCACCGATTTCGATTCACCATATGAATGTTGCATAAATTTTAATGTCACAAATTGGTGTACATGGGGTGAGCGAGCAAAGTGGCGGTTAATTCTTGTATTAGCAGGTTATACGTGCGTATGTAGCCACGCGCGATTATGCACCAGGCACGTGCCATGACCATGCTTTCCACCCGTGCCTCGCTCTACAAATTATTTATGAGCTCCCCTTATATTTTTAAAACGATGAATATTGTCGATCTTCATTACTAGCTCCATCAATTTGTGAGTAGATAACATCTCTAGTGGTGTTAAATTGTATGGGAGCAGAGTTTGTCGATGAATTGAAAATTTTTTATTTCAACAAAATTCTCCTGAAGAATCATGGTATAACAAAATAAAACAATAACCAAAACAAGCAGCGCGACAGAAGCCATTTGATAGACTACATATGACTGCTACTCTTCTCGTATTTTTTTCCTCCTATTTTCATTTCTACCAATTTCATTAATACACTGATCGAAAATCCTCTATTAAAAAATTGGTGTCACGTTTTTTGTCAGCAATCTATTTTGTCAGGGATAACCTTAAGCCTAGGGACAAGGATAATCTTTGCTTAAAATCCTAGATTATACAAATTTGTTGTATATATGTATATCGGAGAGGGTAGGGGAAAGTCCATTTGGAAGCAAAAACTATCAAAAAAATAAAAAAATTATCAATTTTCTTCCATTCGGAAGCAAAAACTATCATTTTGTGGTTTGAGATGATTAGCAAATCTGATCAAATTACGGTTCAACGACACTTCTTGTCTATAAACCCCCGTGACGGTTATGATCCTGAAACTCACTTTTAATTCAACACATTCAGTGTTCCTGATTTGAAGGAAAGAAAAAAAAAATTAACAATTTTCTGTCAGTGGTCCGTTTTGCCCTAGGGCTCCGTTTTGCCTTACCCTCCCCAAAATAATAGCAAAAATAATAACAAAAATACTCAAAATAGTATATTTCGTAACGAGTGCAAAAAAGTGCTAAAAAACATTTTTTCATGAGTTACGAACAATATTTTTCATCACAATGTGGCGGAAATTGGACTTCTAGGCACGCAGAGCGTGCCGAAAAGTTCACTTTTCGTCACAGCGTGATGAAAATAATTATTCAAAAATAATCAAAAATAATTGTCGAGTTATGAGGACAATTCTGGATATACGAACACACATGTGCACACGCATACAGACATTTTTTAAAAACATCATTTCTTCACGTTCCATGACATTTCTAGGCATTTCCACCCAAAATTAAGAAATCGAAAAAAATCACGATTACCAAGCTTCCATTCAGAAGCAACAAAAATAACCAAAATACTTGGATACCATTAAATTGTGAATTTTCAGCAATGAAATCCATTGAAATCTCTGTAAAACATCTCCTTGATAATAATTTGCAATTACACCAAAAATGTCGGTCGAGAATTTCCCATGAGCAATCATCAGAGCCCACCAATGAAAAGGTTCTTCTCAAAAAAATTCTTCCATCTCCGCATCCCACGTTATAAATATGAAAAATTTATATTTATGTACCAAAGTGGTTAAGCCTGTATCGGTGATAAAAAAAATGAAACGACCAGAAATATTTGGTTCTCCCCATCTATTTCTCCACAAAAATTGTCTTTTCCCCTTACCCCCCTCCTCGCAAATGGCGCAGTTATATTCGAATCGAATTGGAATTGGGGTGAGGCAAACTCACCAGAAAAACACGATTCCCGTTACCAAAGTAATATACCTCGTCACAGTCTAGGACGAATATGTGATACTCCCGGGAAAAACCCACGCAATATTTCATCATTATCCTGACACCCCGCACGGTAGGGTTATTCAAGGCAGTAGGAGCATTCCCCCTAGTCAATTCGCTCTGTACTTTGTCGATCCTTCATCGTGGTGGTCTGTCCCCAGTCATGAATCGAGAGTATCCAAAAACTCGTTATGTCGAGCCCTTTCAAAACACCCATTCGGAAACTATATCACGTTTATTGAATTCGTCAGTGTTTTCGATGTAAAAGCCAACTTTATGCGACACTTAACGCCCCAGCCATCTGCGAAGGCGAATGATATGGGTGGGACTGGACCCGTTGGGGAGAGGGGGACGGGATATTTGGAAGTTGAGGGGACCTCGTGTGGTGATAATTTAATGCACAGTTAACGACCAGAGACTTGTGTTTACGAATAAGTGGACTAATCCGGTGGGACGAATTTGAATGGGACTGGAAGGCATGGAAGGGTATCTTATGATTTTCATTGGGGGTAATTTCATCGGAACTTCTGATGGTCATTATTAAAAATTTTTCACTCACGGGGAGAGAAATGTTCAGTAAAAATTACGGAACTCACAGTTCGCTCACTGATTACGGAATCGACTCGGAAAATTTAAGTGACGGTATCGTAATTTTTCACAGAAGATTCAGGTAACAATTACGGAACGCTCCGGAAAAATTCCGTGATTTTAGGTGAATATTACGTGACAGTTCCGTAAAATTTAAATTTCTGACGAGTAACGTATTCATTGAAATTTCAAGGAGTTTTGTCACTGAAAATTCATAATTTCATGGAAGAATTCGGGGGGACTGTAAATTTTGAGTTCAATGATCCCGGGAAAATTAATGAAACATTAGGAAAATTCAGAGTAATCTCTCCTTCAATTCTTCTGAATTTTCATGGAATTCCCAAAAAATTGAAGGGAATTTATCAATAACTTTCGTCAGGAAATTCGTTGGGAAGGGAAAAATATTGAAGGGAAACATATCGATAACTTTCGTCAGGAAATTTGTTAAATTTCCCACATCAAAACCAAATTTACGCCGCAAAACCATTCATGCAAGGCAGGTGAAATTTTCCGGACTGGTAGATGTCAGCATGTCTGTCACATAAACTTATCGATCGAGTGCTAAAATAAGCTTGTTTTTCCCTCCCATCAATTTCAGAATAAAGTTGAAAACTGATTCTAGCATTCGATATTACCCAAACAGATCACTTAAATATTAATGATATTATTATAAATGTTAGACTCACAAATAGGTGTGATTGTACCTGGTGATGAGGCCGATTGTTGGGGTGCGGACTCCCCATGTGCGCACCATGATGATAAACTGATACCGGATCATGCTTAAGTGGCATAGGCGTGCCAGCATTGTGTTTTCCTAAATCAGCAGCAAGTGCCTCCGCCCTTGACAACAATCCGTCCTGAAGACCGCTGTTGAGACCTCCAAAAATATCGCCCTACAATGAACGAGAAAATAATTTTAATAATAAATTGATGGAACCAATGGCGTTCAATAATCCGCACTGTTTGACTACTGAATAAGAAAAAAATCAAGGAGTGCGGCATGTGCCCGAACATTTACCCTCAAGCTGGAAATCTACCGTATTATGTGCAACGATATATTCATTACGGTCCGTAACGTCCGCGTAGACCGATCAATGTTTCATGTGAAAAGCACCGTCGTGCCCGCGGGAGGTAGGGGGGGGGCACTTCGATTATTTATGAACTTCCCCTTTGCTTTCTTTTCCCACTTACACCTTCTCCTTCTGCTCTCTATTATATTCTCATTTTGTGACACTTCAAGCCACTCGGTTTCTTTCAGGGATTTCAATGCGATGAGTGCAGAAGGATTTTGACTTCATTTAATTCATTTCAATTTTTATTCAACGTAACTGTTTGTGGACGTCCGCATGAAAAGCGACGACTTTGTCGATTCTAGTTTCTGAGATATTCACGTTTTAGTCTCCGCAACACTCATCTACCAACCAAAGTTAAATTATTCTTTTGATCTTCTCTAGCGATGTCATTTTTCGCCCTATCAGGTTCATTTTGAACTTGAAATGTGCGGAATGTTATCAATATTATCAGAGTATGCATAACTCCATATCGACAAAGTGGTCCCTTTTCATGCGGACGTCCACATTTATACAATGGGTATTTACAGTGTTTGTTTACATTTTTAAAAAATCATAAATAACGCCTACTGAACATCCACTCAATCTCGCCATGATATGTCCTACACTGAACCCATTCACGAGTACATGTCTTGTTTTTAGTTTTGAGGGTTTCGCGGCCATGATAATTGATATCATCTGGTATTCCAAGAAAAATTGATCCAGGGATCTCTGAGACTTACCGTTGGTAGAAATGACGCGCTTGAAAATTCAAAAACAAAATTCAAGGTCTCACTAGGAGCAACTACGAAAGATTACACTGATTACAAATGATTACAGTGATTACCAATAATTACCACTTGATTACCAAAACTTGATTACAAATATGGTAATCATGTGTTACAATGATTACATGGATTTCACTTGGATTACAATTGATTATATCAGCGAGTGACACCATGATTACGCCTCTGAATAGCCCCTCGCTCAGATGAAACTCCAGTCCCCAAAAAACTCCATAAATAATTCACCTCTTCATCGCCGAAACAACTTTCCACAAAGACAGATGACTCTTTTCTCGCCCACCTTAACGACGCGATTAATCCACAACCCTAGAGCATCAAGAGGGATCACCTCACCGTTGAAGAAGCGTATGGTTAACAGAGTAAGGCGAAGAAGGACATCACCGGAATGGAGTACAAATTGCTCTTGTTAAGAAGCGTTGTTAGCAGCCCCCTAACCGTCAAGTTAAACTTGTTGCTGTGTTGTGCCTCGAGTCCCCCCACCCAAGCGCTAATAGAGTCATTTTTTTCACCGACATATCTTTGTTCTCACTTTGCTTTTCCCTCCACCTCGTCCAGTTATTTTCTTCTCGTCTTTCCACCAACGTTAAGAAATTAGGCAATTACAATTGAATTATCTCACACGAAATGCCCGGTGGGTTTTTATTTGTGATCCTCTCGGGAGACGTGGAAGTAAGAGAAATTGGAGGTTTAAGTGGTACGAAAAATGGAGGGAATAATGTGGCGATTTTGTGGAAGAGGGTAATTGAGTTGAATGAGAATAGACCGCTTTGTGTACTGGTGCAGATGGATCGTTCGTTGTAGATGCAAACGATTGTGTTAGATTGGGACGGTGGGTAATTAGAGGATCAATGAATAATTAAATAATGTTGTCAAATGTTACGCTGTTGGGAAAAATTGAAATTTCAGGGATTATTAACTAGTAATTTTCAGGAGAGTGACGCTCATTTAGATTTATTCGCGGAGAAAAAAGTTAGAGGATCGCATTCCTAGATTCTTTTTACTAAAATTTACTGAAATTTGCTAAGAGTAAGGGTAATTTGTCCCGAAACTGTAAAATTTACCATTCATGAAATCAAAAATTAGCCCATGAATGTGAATGATTGCTGAATTTTACGTAATCATTCACATACGTGGCGGAATTTTTCTGCGATGAAGGATGATATTTTTGACTAAACGAATGTCCTTTACAAACGAAGGACCCCAACAAAATCGATGATTTTTTGGGGAACGTTGCAAATCTGATTCGACTTTGAATATGTAGTTTGGTAGGACAATGATGACTTATACTATACGATCGATTTAATTATAGGGATGAGAATTGGTATCGAATTATGCAGGGAAATTGTTTTGAAAACGTTGACTGTTTATTTTTCGAAAATGCGATTTATTCATTCATGATCGGTTGTTTGTAAATATGTTTCTTTTGAAATGGATTGTTTTGGTAGTGTAAGATGATATTTTGTTGAATGTTGTCAATGTTTTTTTTATGAATCTGCGACTTTATAGGATGAGAATGCTTGTTAATGAAGATTCATTGGTTATTGGGGCAAGAGATTAATTCGAATTATTTGGGGGAGTTGGTTCGAAAATGTTGACAATTAATTTATTGCAGTAACGGAATTTATTTATTATTGATCTATTGAAAAGGTTGAATTCTCATCTGGCGTGTCTTCGAAGATTGAAGGATGTAATAAATAAAATTAACGTTAGTAAGGTGTGTTTGTCTAATTGTTTTTTACATTCGTAAGGGGAAAACATTCCGGGAATTTTTCCGGGGGGAACGAAATCCGGGAACGGACTGTCCACTGATCGCAGATAAATTCTAATTTTTTTATTCTCAATCAATCAACCCTGTCATTATTATTTTACATTTACATTTGTTTTCGATTAATCGGCAACTATCCCCCATCCCTAGTGCCAACAGAATTGTTGTTAACAGACTCCCCTCGAGTTCACCCTCCACTTCACTCTTTTCTCCCATAATACAATCATATGAGACTCACTGAATTAGACATCTCCCCAATTACTGCAATTTTGATTCCGAGATCATCAAACAGATTGTCCTCCACCCAATTGAACCCCCATTGCCTCCTCAGAGAGCATCACCAGTTCAGACAATCGCGTATGAATAATTCCGCCAAATAGTTAAATCGATCCATCAATTTCAATCCGCCGTTGAGATTGCAAGTTGTCATCCAGACGTCCGTCAATCGATCCTCCGCGTATCCGAAATTCTACCCTCTTTCATGAAAATTCATCGACTTGAAGCCTTTGAAATTGGCACAATCCTCACGCTATTTTCATCCGCTAACCCACATCCTGTACTTTGTGGTCCAGCTTCTCCCTTCAACCGCTATAGAAACAAAGTTACCAAGTCACAATTTATACACATACACATTTTACCGAACCATAGAGTCACTGGCACAGGTATAAAACGAGCGTCGTAGTCTCGATTCCATGAATAAATAAAGTCATCCAGAAAATGTGACAGCTGACACGAAAACGAGCAGACTGGTTCGTGCATGGCGGAGTGCCTTGTGTCTAGAGGACGCTCCTTCACAACGATGCTTGGTGATGTGTACGTGGAAGACGATCAAAAAGCACTCGCGAGTTGGAAGTAGCAATGGGTGCAAAAGTTCTGTCCATCATTCAAAATTTACATTTCCCGTTTAATTTGAATTAACGATTAAAGCATCGCGGCGGTATGAATTCATTCGAAGATGGATGTAATAATAGAGAATGACGCTATGATTTATGCATAGGGCAGACGAACATTGATTAATGATTTAGCCGTCTGACTTGAAATATACGCGATTAAAAATTGAATCTGGTGACAATTTTTTTGAATTATGTGCACGGAGAGAAATTTTTGATAAAAATTATCCTACCGTTCTATAAAAGTGTATCATGAGTAATAGTTTCTTCATTTCTATCCCGAAATTTAGTAAAAATTAATATATGATGATCAAATTTTATTCTACGTAAGAGAAATTTTATCCTGACGTATAATAAATTTTTCATCACGCTGTGATGAAAAGTGAACTTTTCGGCACGCTCCGCGTGCCTAAAAGCCCAATTTCCGCCACATTGTGATGAAAAATATTGTTCGTAACTCGTGAAAAAATGTTTTTTAGCTCGTTACGAAATATACTATTACCCTTCCAGTCCAGTAATTTTTATGTAGATAACAACGAAAATTCTAGAATGGTTGGTAAATTTTACTCTACCGGTACAGTAATTTTTACTCTACCGGCGCGGTAATTTTTATTTTTATCAGAATAAAATTTCTCTAACGTAGAATAAAAGTTGATCATCATATATTAATTGTTACTAAATTTCGGGATAGAAATGAAGAAACGATGACTCATGATACACTTTTATAGAACGGTACGATAATTTTTATCAATAATTTCTCTCCGTGTGGGAACTGCAAATTTCAAGAATTGGATGATAAACGGAATGACATGGGTGGTGGTGAATTATGAAACAATGACTGACGATGTAATGAACGAACTCGTCGTCGTGGATCTCGCGAAGGCGACGTTTGGATCAGACGGTGCCCATAATGGCTAATCGTGCAATTTCCCACTCGTTTTAATTGGAAATTGTATTTTCTTCACCAACAAATGTATCTTACATATTCATATGGTAAAGGATCTATTGTTCGAAAAAACAGACTAATTGTTTACACAAGAAAAGCTAACACACCGAGGGAAAGGAGAAGGGGAACGCAATGTACAGGTGTCCAAGCGGATCCGTAAAAAGCATAAGTGACACTCGACTCCGGTTTTTATGGCGCACAAACTATCCTTACTGGAAAAGCCAGCGTTAGGTCTCCCATCGTATATCTAAATAATCAATTTGCCTCTGGCCATAATCGTAACCGCGAGTTAGCCAGTTTATGTCGGCCACACTACCGGTATAACTACGTGTGCGCCCTCTCCGTAAAACATAAATATTACGACAAAAGAGGCCATTGAGTGTACACTAACATGAAACCCCTCAAACTTCACGAACTCTTTGGTAGCTGGTACAGCCCCCTCTTTCATGTATCTGAACATAAATTTTACATTTTTCCTCATACTAACGGTGGAGTTGCTTCTTCTTTTGGAGCATTAAAGTGGGTTTTAAGTCGTGAAAAAGTATTATGGGGCAGTAATACGATTCTGTTTTATCAAAATTTCGTCGTTTTGCGATTATCTGAGGAATTAGCAGCTTTAGGACTAAATGTGGAGACACTTCTCACGAAAATTGGCATTACAAAGTAATGACGGGAAGTTTAGCGAAAGTAGCGTGATCATGCATCAGATACAGAGTCGGTAGTGGTGGGTGTTCCCTAATGAGTTGCTTTTGATTAGAACTGATTGGGTTGGAGAAAGATAATCCCACACTGTTAAAAATTTTTGTCTGAAATTTCCGGTACACTTTTTGTGAATTTTTATCGAATTTAATTAACACTGAAATTTCAAGGAATTTCGCCAAAAATCAAAGACAACAGTAAATTTTAGTTCCTTTTTCCCCTGAAAATGTATAGAAAACCAGAAAATTCCGGTAATATATTCTTGAATTTTCAGGACAAAGACACTGAATGCGATTTGGAGGGGAAAAAATCATGAAATTTCAGATTTCACTGAAAATTGGATGTAATTTGGCCCTGAATATTCAGATTAGATTGGAAATTCAAATAAATTAAGGAATTCCTGTTTATATGCTGCTTACAATTCTGGAATTTTACTGAATTTTTAGTGAAACCTGAAATTTCATTATTTTTTTCTCCTAAATCGCATTCAGTGTCACTGTCCATGAAATTTCATTTTCTTTCTAACAGTACAACAGTACAATTCTCATTCATTTTCAGGTTTAATTCAGTAGCGAAGTGGTAAAACGGTTCAAGTCAACTTATCTCCCAGTTAAGTTTTTGAAAAATATCTCTGCATCTAAGGGAGATAGCAAAATTTTCGTAATCACAATGTTTGAAACGTAACTCAACCTCTCCAAGACCAAGGTCGATCAGCTCGGCTAATTACGAAAATCATCGGCCTTTTCCGGGTTAACGCTCAGGTCTAGTAGAGTCACCGTAAATCAACGCGAGTAGTACATCACGGTCTGTCGTATAGCACGTTTTGAATGGAATTCAACTCTGTAGAGTTTAGACCACAGTACATTAGCGTCTATTAACTCGGCGATAGAAATTCAGTAAAAGAAAATCACGTTATTTATTGACCATTCAACCAGTGACTCACAGTGCAAATTCGATAGACAATTAAATTAACTCAGTACGATCAACAAGTGATAAGCTGTTTTTGTAAATTTGACAAAGCGTGGTTCGAACTCGAGAATAAATGCACGTGGATATTAGTTCAAGACTCTCAACAATTATTTCACACCGACGATCCTCTAACCTCCCAATCCACCCTAAATCTAGTTCCTCACCAAACACACAATTGTTGTAGCTCTCAATTGGCTCTACGAGAAAGGTTATAACGAAAATTTTGCTATCTCCCTTAGATTCCGAGATATTTATTGATAACTGGCCAAGAGTCAAAATTGACTTGAATCGGTTTACCACTTCGCTACTGAATTATAGATGAATTTTCGAGTTGAACGAGAAAACATGTATTTTGCAACTAAACTTTCGGTACTGACATCTGAAATTTTTGAGGTTGCCAAGATAAACTCATTTTGCAGTGCTGCACAGCAACTTTTCTTAGATTTATTTCACGCGTGCGAATTATGGCATATGATTAATCAGTTCGTGACTTGCACTGTATCTAAGTTGTCGCTTGAGGTGTTATGAAGATACTTGAATACTCACATTATGCCTTGGTGACCAGGAATTACACATGATCGACGCATCTTCAAGTATCCGGCTCTGCAATGAAATTAAAAGAACAGCAATTAAAACAATTTCACCAGAGGAAGCATATTAACACAAAAGGTAATGAAGTTCTGTATAGGACAAGTTTATCTCATCATTCTTATTGACTTGATTATACTCATCATATCTAGCAATTTGATCATAATCATTATAATCATTTTTTTGTTACAAATGCCAAACTGTTAATGAAAAAAAAAATTAATGAAAAATTGCACCATGAAATCTGATTTCATTCTGATGTTAACTCTAGTGCCAAATAATGTCGAAAGTCAACTACGAATGTAACAAAATAGAGTAAACTAATGAACATAAAATACAGAGATTAATACTATTATTGTAAAATGTAACGACAGTGACAAAAAGTAAACAAACAGAACCTCGTACTTCAAATGAATGAATAAAAAAAATTGATGATTAATGGATAAAAGAATTAATCAATCATTTCGTTTTCCACATGTCACAGAACTTTTCTCACTTGAAAAAGTAAGCTGTTGGCACTGAATTTCAGAGATTGTTCTTTTGACAATTAGTTAGCAGTTCTCATTCAGAGTACAATGCCTTCTAGAGCCATAAGTTTCTTCAAATCAGTAACTTGGTTCCCGAAACTGGAAAATTTTCTTCTCTGTGGACAATCACAAACTTTCTAGGAGGAAGGCAGAACGAACTAATCCCTCATTTTGAACCAAACAAGTAGAATGAACAGTGAACTGCTATTGATTTGAAATTAAAAAAAAATCAAAACAATTTCACCATAAGTAACGTATTCATACGACAGGCAATGAAGTTTTGAACAGGACAAGCTTTTCTCATCATTTTGGCAGTTTCATCATAATTCTTTTATATCTGAGCCATGTTTATTGTCACTCTTCAAATTTTATTAAATGAAAACCATGCATTTGTAATCATTGATAATCACCTCCAGTACATTGTTTTCTAGGAATTATTGAAGACATATGGATGAAACTAAATATTCGTGGTTTTACACTGACAAAAATAAAGGTTTTTGAGAAATATTACGTCTTTACTTATATCAAGAAACTTCACCCAAAAAAAGTCGGCCTGAATTAAGTCGGACTGAATCATGCCGGGAATCGACATGTTTCACGTCGAATTGACGGCATGAATCAAGTCGGACTCGGACAGATGCAAACCAGAATATCGGTTTGATTCAAGTCGATTTCTCGACTTGATTCAGACCGGCTTCGGTTTGATTCAGGTCGATTTTTCGGCTTGATTCAAACCGATGTCGGCTGGACCCGTTTCTACTTACAATAAAACACTTTTCGACTTATATCAGACCCGGAATTCGAATTGGACTAGTTCGAGTCACTCGGTTTAAATCAAGCCGAAAATCGGTTTGAATCAAACCGACCTCGACTCGAATCAGTACTTTTTTTGCATGTTCTGACTTGGAAATTTTCAAGAGTAAAATATCTTGCAATAAGAAAATGAAAACTTTCGTCAAGTAATTTTGTACTTGTCCTAAAGACGAGGACAATTTCTTGATGACAAGAAAGCGATTTTTCAAACAAAGTAAAAATGAATTAGTTCATTTAATGGTTTTTCAGCCTTAATTCTAAAATATTTTAATGCAAAAATTACTGTAAATGATTTCAGAACTCGTTTTCCTTGATATGAAGATACTGTCCTCATCTTTCGGGCAAGTATAAAATTTCTTGGCGTAAGATTTCTTTTTTCTTAGTGCGAGATATTGGGCGCTTGGTAATTTTCAAGCCACGAATTTCTTGATACAAGTAACGAAGTACTTCTCAAAAAACACTTGTTTTATCAGTGTAAATCATGGGCAATCTACGTATTAGCTACAATGAATTTAAAAACCGATGTTGGTGGCTAGACCGAGTGGGCTAGACGCAAGTCTAGTGTGCGAAAGATTGCGAGTTCGATTCCCCGTGGAACCGAATTTTTCAACGGAAGGCTCCGGCGAGCGGGAGGTTGCTAATAGAGTAACCGTCTGTACCGGCATGGGTTTCCTGTGGTTTCCCATGCTACTCCTATGCTCTATAAGAGTGCGAATGCGGTAGAGTGCAGAATCCACAGCCGCATGCATAGGGTTGTACAGAGTGCCGAAATGAGAACCGAAAAGGGGACTCAAAAGGCCTTAAAAAAGACAAAAATGAATTTAAATTTCTTTCAGACACCCCATGTAATCATTATGAGTGCTCAGGTAGATGCACGGGACCTCCTTTTCAGCACCTCCATTCGCGAGGTATCTAATTTTTAAAAATTATAAATTCGAAATTTCAAATTAAATTCAAGAACTCATGGTAGGGGAGGGTAGGGCAAAACGGACCTGGCGGGCAAAATGGACCACTGACAGAAAATTGATAATTGTTTGATTTTTTGATAGTTTTCGCTTCTGAATGGAGGTAAAAACAAAAATTCAAAATCATTTGCGGTTTAAGGTGATTAGCAAATCTGATCAAATTGCGGTTCAACGACACTTCTTATTTATAAAACCCCTGTGAGGGTTATGATCTTGAAACTCACTTTTAATTCAACACATTCAGCGTTCCTCATTTGAAGGAAAGAAAAAAAACAAAAATTACCCATTTTCTGTCAGTGGTCCGTTCTGCCCTAGGGGCCGTTTTGCCCTACCCTCGCCTACATCTTCTCTGTGACACTCACAAATCTTCCATTAAGAAGGCAAATCGGACTGCACCGCTAATTTTGAGCGGAAAGTAGACTGACCATTGAATTGTCATTGATTGACATAATTGACCGACCATAAAAATACAACTTCAACAGCTCGGGTCGAATGACGCTGATCGATAGAGTCCCAATTTGCCCATCATCCATATCGTCACTCACCTATTTACCCAATCCATAATTTTTTCCAGCTGTTTGTGAAGCGAGAACGAAGTAAAAACAAAAAAGTCCCCGGCACTTTCAGATCAAATTATAATCAATCACCGCTGACCTCATTCGACGGGGAAGAGGATATAAATATTGAAATACGACTGGCTGGTAATATGAACATTTAAAGTGGTAGTAGTGATCCAGAAGATTGACGGAATCGGGCCATGTCGACGTCGCGACGGTCTTACCAATTAAACAAGTTACTTCGGGAATCCAACCATTATGCAGCATTAGGTAATTCAATTTCAATAGCTCGACGTCTGAATGTCTATTTTTCGGAATGTTCTTTGGGTCCTGACTTTTGTATTTTTGGGATTGAAATTAACCTGTCGCGACGGATAATGTAGGGGTGTGGGAAGGAAATGAAATTTTGAGGGATTTAAATAAACAGGTGATTAGACTGTCTGCATGAAAATGTTAATATGATTATTCGTGAATTATTGGAAACGTAATGGACATTGCAATTATTGGATTATTCAGATGGAAAATAATGGATTAAGAAGGGGAGAATCTGGGGGATGATAAGTGGACAAATTAAAGGAAGTCTCCTGATGATTTTTTCTCTAATGAGTGAGATAATTTTCCAGTTACCAACTGGGGGGAAATAGAATCAGTTTCGTCGGAAGGGCAGATAAATTTGTTGGCGATTTATGAAGATGACGACTCATTAGGGTCAAAACTTCTGGGGTTTTTCTGGAGGTTTGGAATTGATAAGTGTGACCTAGCTAACAGACCACGGCTGAAAATACATTAGATCAAAGACTCGAATACTATCCAAATCGGTCTCAAAAAAGATTCAAATTTCAAGTATCGTCTCGTCTCGGTCTCATGAGTGTAAAACTTGAGAAGTAGGAGGAAAAAATTTGTCTTCATGATTTTTTTTTCTCATTTATTATAATCAATTGTCAATCATTTTTCTTGAATGGACGAAAAAATAGCCGAAGGAAAAAATAACCGATGTGTAGAAACACGCGTCGTGTGTGGTAAACGACGAAATGACCGTTCATTTTCGGTCATTTTTTCCGCCTACCCCGAAAATGACCGATCATTTTGTCGCCTACTACGCACAACACGTGTTACACCCATCGGCCATTTGTTCCTTCCGCTTTCAAACTCATTTTTTCCGCCTACCATTTTTCTTCATTCTCATTGGTTCTGCAATATTCACCATTACCTTATTAAATTCACCAATAAACAACAATAATAAGAAGATAATATGAAGTGGGTTATTCGACTTTTTGAAAACATCTCACCAACTCAACTAGTTGTTAAAAAGGAGAATTACATTTTGCCCGTCCGACTCTAGTTTTTTAAATTTAACCATTAATTAATCATTAAGTAGGTTTTTGCAGGATTTATGGGTCAGATAAGTCTGAGGGTCAGATGAGTTTACAAGGTGAAATAATTTCGATCGGGGGTTTGGAGAGGTGATGTATCAGATGAGTCACATGAGTTTGAAAGGGCAGACTGAACGAGACTCTCGCCAAAAGTGTCGCTCCAACGACAGTCTCTGGTCTCGATTATTTTTGGGCGGTATTGTCTCTGTCTCGGTTTAGAGAGTATTGTCTCGCCTCGGTCTCATGAGTATAAAACATAGAAAGTAGGAAGAAAAAATTTGTCTCATTCATTCTTTTCATTCTCATTAGTTCTGCAATATTAACGGCATTACCTTAATAAATTCACCAATAAACAACGATAATAACATCGTGAAACATCAATGAGATCAAACGACGAGGTGGGTCATCCGACTTTTGAAAAACATCTCACCAACTCAACTAGTTGTTGAAAAGAAGAATGAACAACCAGTTGTCGAATTTTAACAATTAGTTATGAAATCTCAATAACTAGTTAATAAATTTCAACAAATAGTTCTTTAAATTTAACCATTAAGTAGGTTTTTGCAGAATGACATGGATCAATTATCAAAATATAAATAATCGCCGGATTTATGGCTCAGAATCGTTTAAGTACAAGGTGAAATAAGTTCTACCGGGGAGATCGGTTTGGAGAGATGATGCGTCAAATGACTCACATGAGTTTGAAAGGTCAGATGAGGACTCGCATCATCTATCTGACTCTTATAACTTATGTGTCCTTCATACTCATCTGAATATCGA